GTCCAGAAACCATTGGCACTCGAGCTCCGACATGGCCTCCTTCTCCAGGGTCTCCTCGAAGGCCGGGTCGAACTTGGCCTCCGGCAGCTGCTCCCAGTCCTCCATCTCCGTGTCGATCGAGCCCAGGTCCATCGCGTTGCGAGCTCCCTCCCGAAGATGGCTCAAATCGAACCCGATCTTCTTGACCAGCACCTTCTTGGCACGACCCACGTGAGGCGACTTGCCCTGGACGTGGCGAGGCGACCTCCCTGTGCTCGACGCCATGGGCCTCCACGTCGCCGCTGGAGAGCTTCGAAACTGGTTGAGCCGAGAGCTCCGGAAAGAGGTTGGGTCCGCTGTCGCTTGCCCCCTGAGGTGGTGGGGGAAACTCGGAGACGAGGGAGGGGAGGGGGGTCTGATCCTGCACGGGCGCTCTCCTACCTAGACTCTCGGGCCCTCCCTCACTCCCGCGGCGGTCCTCCAGCAGAAGCTGACGAAGAGGGATCTTCTCCTGGATCTCGGGGCTCAGGACGAAGCTGCGGGCTGGGCGCTGAACGAGATCAACTGAACGATGGCCCGAGGGATGAGAGACCAACTTCACCTCCGAGGCCTGCCCGGCGACCTGCAAGGTCATCGTGTCCCTCGGGAGGTCGATAAACGCCTTGAGCGCGGAGAGGAGCTTAGCTGGAAGTAGAGGTGGACACGGGCCTTCAAGCACGAGAAATTCGATCACGCCACAGCCACCGAGCGCAATGGGAACCCACGCCCTGCCGATAGGCTGGGCGCGCCCTCCAACGCCAGACGCCTGGATGCCGATCACCGGGCTCCAGTCGAAGTGGACCTTGTAACCGTGACGTCGCAGGGCGATGTCGAGGGCCTTGACGTTAGGCTTCCCGACCAATGCCTGTCCGGCCGCAGTATCCACCAGCGCGTGGGTGCCTAGCTCCTTCAGCGTGATCGTCGCCAGCGTGGGATCAGCGTTCAGATACCTGGCGATCTTCTGGCCCCAGTCCGTGACCTCGGCCTCCACCACCACGCCCAGCGTCACGAACGAGTCCCCCTCCTCGTTCACGAAGGAGTAGGAGAAGCCCGAGATGGGCCTGGCCGAGCTCCGGTCCTTCTCCTGGGCCAGGCGGTCGGACTTGCTCATGTAGGGGTTCTTGCACTGGTCTGCCCAGTGACCCTTCTGGCCGCAGTTGGCGCAGCGACTCTTTTTCCGAAAATCCTTCTCGCCAACTCTGCGAAACCCGGGCCTGGTGGCTTTTCGCTTGTCAAAGAAATCCCTGTCCGTCTTCTTTGCCAGCTTCAGCTTTCTGGATTCTGTCCACGTACGTCGTCGCTCCTTTCCGAATCTCTCCTCCAGGACAGCTCCGAAAACTTCTAGCGTCTCGAACTCGTCCAGTTCTTGATTATCTATGGCGGCCAGGAAAGCCTCGGCGTCATTCTCGGGGAGCTCGATCTCGTCGTCGTCGGGATCCTCGGGCTCTGGCGATGCTCTCCCCGGTCTCGAAAGCGAGTCGCCGTCCTCCACGAAGGTCTTCGCCATCTGAGGCGGCGCCGAGGGAAGGATCAGCTTCTCCGTCACATCCAGCTGGAGGAGGGCCCCACGAATCGAGACTGCATCCAGCTTCCCGCCCGCCAGCGTCCTCATATTGATTTTGTTCTGGGGCGTCAGATTGGCCCCCTCCTCCAGGAAACGAGCACGAACGTTGTCTGGGAGGACCAGTCCTCTCGCCTCGGCCTCCGTGAGCTGGGCATCTCGGCGCAGCACGTAGTCCGTGAGAGACTCTCCTCGTCGGATCATGTAGTCAAACAAAGCATGCGAGTGAGCGATCCTGTCACGATCGCCCGGCCTTTCTCCGTTGAGAACGCACAGGTGAGCTATCAAGTTCTCGATGCCATGATCGTTCTCGAGAGTAGCTCTCACCGTCTTGAACTTGAGCTGCAGCTCCACGGGGAGGGTCTCGATCACCCGAGGGGCCTGAGAGGATAGAGCGTGTCCTGTTCTCCTGGACCACGCTCGAAGATTCTCCGAATATAGTTCCAGGTGCTCCAGGCCGATGAACGGGGGGGGGGGTCCGTAGTCCCGAGTGCGCTCCTCTGAAGATCTTCCTGCTTCTTTCCAGTCGGCGTTCCACCCGCCCCACGCGTCATAGGCCCAGGCCTCCTGCTGCCATTGAGACCAGGGTGAAGACTCCCACGAAGATTCCCAGGGTTCTCGTCGCTCCCTAGCTCCTTGATCCCAGGGGTCCTCCGTCTGCACATCAGTCTGTACTGCAAAATCTCTCCGTCTTCCTTGGACGTCGTCATCATCCGTCGGCATGCCGACGGCCACGAATGCTAACACCAGGGCACCAAGGCTCAGGGTGTAGCCGTTGTCGGACAAACGCGTCGTCTCGACCACAGACCGCTCGTCACCACGAGCTCCGCTACCACTGTCACAGGGTCGACGGGCCAATGGAAAGACTAAGGGCGAGTGTGGAGATAAACTTGTTTATCGAAAGGCCTCGCCCGTCCTCTCAGCGACTCCTCGGAGTCACATCCTAAGCCAAATTGGCTATATACCGCAGGAGAACACGGAGGGAGGGGAGAGAGGGGATCGGAGAACGCACCCCAGGGAAGCATAGGATGACAGTAGTAGTAGTCGTAGTCGTAGTAGTAGTCGTAGTAGTAGTAGTAGTAGTAGTAGTAGTAGTAGTAGTAGTAGTAGTAGTAGTAGTAGTAGTTGAAGTAAAAGTAGTAGTAGTCGTAGTAGTAGTAGTAGTAGTAGTAGTAGTAGTAGTAGTGGTAGTGGTAGTATTAGTAGTAGTAGTAGTAATAGTAGTAGTAGTAGTAGTAGTAGTAGTAGTAGTAGTAGTCGTAGTAGTAGTAGTAGTAGTAGTAGTAGTAGTAGAAGTAGTAGTCTTAGTCCGGTAGTGGTAGTGGTAGTAGTAGTTAGTGGTAGCAGTAGTAGTAGTAGTAGTAGTAGTAGTAGTAGTAGTAGTCGTAGTAGTCGTAGTAGTAGTAGTAGTAGTCGTAGTAGTAGTAGTAGTAGTAGTAGTAGTAGTAGTAGTAGTAGTAGTAGTAGTAGTAGTAGTAGTAGTAGTAGTAGTAGTAACTAGTAGTACGACGCCGACGACGCCGACGCAGACACAGACGACGCCGAAACCGAAGCCGACGAAGCCGACAACGGCGATCAGGACGACGCTGACGGCGACGCGTACGACGCCGCCGACTTCCCCACGGCGCCGACGCAACCGCCGCCGTCGACGAGGACGACGTTGCGAAACAGCGTCCGAAATGGCCTCCGAAGCGGCCTCCGAAACGGCTTCCCAAACGGCCTCCGAGCTAACCGCCTCCGGGACGACCTCTGAAACGGCGTCGGAAACGGCCTTCGAACCAGTTTCCGAGACGCCCTTCGACACGGCCTGCGACAAGGCCTCCAGCACGGTTTCCGAAACGGCTTCCGACGCGGCTTCCGACACGGCCTCCGAAACGGTTTCCGAATTGACTTCCGAAACGGCCTTCGAAACAGCTTCCGACACGGCGTCCGACACGGCGTCCGAAACGACGTCCGAAACGGCCTCCGACACGGTTTCCGAAGCAGCCTCCGAAATGAAACGGCTTCCGAAAGGGCCCATATAGTTCCAAAGCTTCTCGACCCCCGGAACCCGGAACCCCGGAGTTACGGGTTTTGCTCTGGGGCCCCCTCGGTGCGAAAAGAGAAACCCGGAACCCCGGGGTTCCGGGTTTCCAGCCCTGGAATTCCGGGTCTACCCCTTCCCCCCTTCCCCTCCCCGCCTCTGCGTGTGGCCGAGTCCTACGCTTCCCCGATCAGAGGCTGCCCAGGGCGGCTCCAAGAGAAGTCTCTCGAGACGGCTCCGGGCAGACTCCTGGGGCGCCGAGGGCAGCCCACGAGGGCCCCGCCCCCACGCAGCCCGATCCAGCCCTTAGTGGGCCCTGGAAACGACAAGGCCGTTTTTTTAGCGGTTCCGCTTTGCCGTTTTTTGACTGGATCCAGCTCCGGTTCCAATCCTGGAGCCGTTTTTTTGCCGTTTCCGGTCGCCGTTTTTTTGCCGTTTCCATTTTCAAGGGACATTTTTTTTGGAACGGTGAAAAAACGACCCTGCCGTTTCGGGGGCCCATAAAGATCCAGCCCTCCAAGAGGCCCCCAAGAGGCCAGGAGAGGCAAGCAGGAGGCCTCCAGTCCGCGACACCCGCACGACGGCGGCATGAACCGAACGCGCCTTCGATGCCGTGGCTTGAGCAGGGACCGGCCGTCCCGGCATTCCTCTAGGCCTACCACGAAATGTTCTCAGAACCCAGCCAGACATGTTCTAAGAACATTTTGTGCAAACCACAATAGGTTCTTAGAATATGATTTGGTGGCCGTATAGGCGAGCCCGGATGCTTCGCCACAGCTCGAGAAAAAGCCATGGAGCCGCTCCGCCGATGGATGATCTGGTGGGCGTCCTTGGAGAGCCAAGTGATGATGATGGTGGGCGTCCTTGGAGAACCACATGATGTTGATGCTGATGATGATGATGATGGTGATGGTGATGATGATGATGATGCCGAAGATGACGGTGCTGCTGATGGTGATGATGATGATGCTGATGGTGCTTATCATGGTGATGGTGGTGACCATGATGATGCTGATGATGTTGATGATGACGATGCTGATGGTGATGATGGTGTTGATGGTAATGGTAATACTGATGGTTGTGGTGATGGTGATAGTGATGGTGATGATCATGTTGACGATGCTGATGATGGTGATAATTGCTGGCGATGCTGATGATGATGATGCTGCTGATGATGGTGCTGGTGATGGTGGTGGTGATGATGATGGTGATGACGATGAGGATGAGGATGATGATGATGACGATGATGTTGATGTTGATGTTGATGTTGATGATGATGATGATGATGATGATGATGATGATGATGATGATGATGATGACGATGACGATGACGCTGTCTCCAGCGCTGGTGACTTGACGGGTATTTCGCTACATTTTGCTCTGCGGTCGCGGGTGGGCGTCCTCGGAGTGCCACATGTCGTCCCAGAAGATCACCCTGCGGTGCTTGATGCACGTCACGATCTCCACCGCGACGCGCAGGGTCGCCTCGGGCTCGCCGCCATCTCGCGCCGACCTCCTGCTCATACGATGTGCTGATTCCGATGGGCCTTCCGGCCGGTGCCGCCGACCCTGAAGAGGGACGACGACGACGACGACGACGACCGCCCTCCTGCTCATACCATGCACTGATTTGTGTCATCGGAGCGAGTCGATGCTGCATTGGTCTTATCGTCTTGGTTCTCTTATCCTCGTACAGTTGGCGTTGAAAAAAAGATCGCGTGCAGCATCGACCTCAAAAAGGACGCCACCCTGTTAGGCGATGCCCCCGCGATGGCCCCTTCTGTGCACGCCATCCCCGTTCCAGGGCTCCTTCGGTGCACCCTATACCCAAAATGGCGGATATCATGCAATCTTTCCAACGCCAACCGTGTCCCTCCTCCTCCTCGGCCTCCGAGGCGCTTTTTGGAAACGAAGCCTGCACATAATGCACTTCGGATCACGATCGTCTGAGTAGCGGGCGCAGCGGACCCATGAGACGCGCCTCTGAAGAGCTGTTCGTTCGATCGGCTTCCTCCTCCTCCTCCTCAAACTGGTCCTCCTCCCCCTCGTCATCATCATCATCATCATCATCATCATCATCATCATCATCATCATCATCGTCATCATCATCATCATCATCATCATCATCATCATCAGTTCTATCAGTTCTATCATCATCATCATCAGCATCATCAGCATCATCTTTATCATCATCATCACCATCATCATCATTTATCAGTATCCCTATCATCAACACCAACATCATCATCATATTCATCATCCTCCTTCTCCTAATCATCATGATCAGCATCACCATCATAATCATCATCATCATCATCATCATCATCCTCATCTTCATCATCTTTGTCGTCATCATCATCATCATCATCATAAGCAAGATCAGCATCATCATGATCATGATCATGATCATGATCATAATCATCATCATCATCATCATCATCATCATCATTATCAGCATCATCACCTGCATCATCACAATCATCATAATCAACATCATCATCAGCGTACTCGTATGCATCCTCATCGTCATCAGCATCATCCATCTCATTATCAGCATCAACATAATCTGCAGCATCATCAACATCATCGGGATCGTCATCGTCATCGTCATCATCATCTTCATCATCATCATCATCATCATCATCATCATCATCATCATCATCTCCATCGTCACATTCATCAGCATCATCATCGTCGTCATCAGCGTCAGCATCGTCATCATCATCCTCAGCAGCATCATCATCATCACCACCATCGCCATCATCATCATCATCAACATCAACATCAACATCAACATCAACATCATCATCATCATCACCATCACCACCATCATCATCATCATCATCATCATCATCATCATCATCATCATCATCATCATCATCATCTTCATAATCATCGTCATCATCATCATCACCAGCATACTATGCATCAGCATGTTCGTGCTCATATTCATCTTTATATACATCAACGTCTTCATCGTCGTCACCATCTTCATCATCGTCATCATCGTCATCAACACCATCAACATCACCCTCATATTCACCCCTCCTACCCTCACATCCGGGCGCCGCAAGAGAGAGTCACAACGAGCGCTTCTGCCTCGTCCCTGGGGCCAGAACCCTCACATATTGATCTGGGCGGCCCAGACGAGGCCCCTCAGAGGCCCCAAAGCGGCTCCCAAACGGCATTAGAACGGCCCCCAAGAGGCCTCCAAACTGCCTCCACTAGGCCTCCAACGAGATCCCAGCGAACATTCAATAGACTTCGTGCCCACAACCCAAGCACGGTAGCGGGATGGGCCGAAAGCCATTAGACCTGGCCCGGCACAGAAACGGAAAGAGCGCTTCAGAAACAG